CTCTCTCTCTCTCTCTCGCTCTCTCTCTCTCTCTCTCTCTCTCTCTCTCTCTGTGTCTCTGTTTCTGTCTCTCTCTAAATAAAGTATCTGAAAAATATAAAAATATTTTTGAATGCTTGATTTGGACAGGCTTTATTTTATAAAAGATTTCGTAGAATATTTGATAAACTCACATAATATATATATATATATATATATATATATATATCCTGATCTTTGTCGTCTTCTTTTTAAAACACATACTTTTAATATCGTATATTGTATAAATTCCACATAGAAGAATTATTATTCAGAATTTACATACTTATTCTTCGATCATAAATAAAGGTGTCCATTAGTAAATTCAACATAAAATTCATAGTCATAGCCTGTAATCATATGAAATGATGGCAGAATTGTCGTTCTTTCGTCAAAATAAATATCGTACATCGACGAGTACGAAACAGAAAAGATCGAGAAAGCTCTGATAGAAGCAAGAATCATGTTCCAATGGATATTACAAGTTAGCAGAAGTATTTTGAGATTATGCGATGCGACCGAAATAAACTTCTTCGCGAGAGCTTTTATCTTGCAAAGATTCTCGTCCCTAAATATCAATGGAGCGTTCGAAAACACCTACGAGAGGCTTCTAGAGACGATAGCTAACGAAAAAAGAGATAATAACTTGTAGTCGCAAACAGATTCATTTGTTTGTTTATCTTCTTCGGGCAAGTAATTGCGATGATTAGCAAGCCTGTCAGCTGAAAGCGATACATGAAAATTCTCATCATTAAAATTTTGTCGAGGAAGAAAGAGAGAGGAATAATTTAAAAATGATAAATTCGATTAAGGCGATCTTGTATTAGACCAAGGTTACTCATCGCAACTACGTATACACGTAACGATAACAGTTATTTTAAAATAACGCAGGCTACTACTTCGCCGCGATCGAAGACAAATTTGGATGCGAGAACGATGTGAGAAAACTAACATAACTTTATTAGCAGCCCAGCTGCAAATTCATCTGCTATAGCGATTGTTACTTAATACTTGAGACTGTTCGTGAAGTGCATAAACAAATTTCTCTTTTCTCTTAACGTTTAATTCATTGAAAAAATAAGGATAAACGTATATACTCTTGATGAAATAAAAGTGTCTTGTTTATATCCATTTTCTTATTCGATATGAATATGCTCTTATGCGATCAGTAAAGAATTTGTACTATTATAGTGACATATTTTGCAGATAAAAAGAAAAATGTAAAAAGAGGAAGAAGTTTAAGGAAAGGACAAAAAGACAACGCTACGCCAAAAGGGTGCCGCAAAAATAAGCCAGACTATATAAAGTTTACATGAGGTAATGTAAATGTTGATATAATAGAAACGAGAGTAGTGTGATATAATGTGTATTTGAATTGACTTTGACATTGTATAACAATATATAGTAACATAATGTATAATATTTACAAAATAAATTAAAATATAGAAGTACATCGGTAGATGCTTAGTTGCTTTGGTTAGCAGACTAGACATAATTAATATGTAATACGTATTAAGAGAGGATCGATTTCTCAAACGGTGGTGAGAACGCTCGCGTGACAGTTAATAGAGCGCAGCCTTCTCGAAGTAGTCTCGAAACTCATTGCCAAGCGTAATCTGTCGAGGTCCCTGCATGTCCTTATGTCCAGAATGTCCCTTTCGTGGTTCGAAAGATGCACTTGGTAGCATCTATCCATGTGTCCGAAGATCCTTTCCAACGTTCGACAACGTCCAGGCTACCACGAGAGAGGCTCTGTGACGAGAGACAATCTCGCCGACCGCTTCCTCGGCCGTGATGATGACATTAAGTGAGCAATGATCTGTCGAACGCAGTTTTATAGAAAGCTGCGACGACAAGAATGATCAGCCAGGCCGTCGTTGTTTGCGCAACGACGAGAGAGACTGCGACAATGATTCGATGAGATCCAATGAGGACTGAAAGTCGATGATGATGCTGTGACGATGTTTTCTCATAGCAGCTTGATTGCTCGGGCCAGAACTGCATGCAATTTGTGTCTTCTTCCCGAGGTACGATGATGTTTTTTCGAAAATTACGCTGTTGTGACGATCGTGCAATGACTCGCTTAGAAGCATTTGCGGTGGACAATGCCAGGGCCAGACTCGTCGTATTCCTGTTTGGAGATCCACATCTGTTGGAAGGTGGACAGAGAAGCCAAGATGGAACCACCGATCCATACGGAGTATTTCCTCTCGGGGGGAGCGATGATCTTGATCTTGATGGTCGAGGGCGCGAGTGCGGTGATTTCCTTCTGCATACGATCGGCGATACCGGGGTACATGGTGGTACCACCGGAGAGAACGTTGTTGGCGTAGAGATCCTTACGGATATCGACGTCGCACTTCATGATGGAGTTATAGACGGTCTCGTGGATACCGCAAGATTCCATACCCAAGAAGGAAGGCTGGAAGAGGGCCTCGGGTGTACGGAACCTCTCGTTACCGATGGTGATGACTTGACCATCAGGCAACTCGTAGCTCTTCTCGAGAGAGGTGCTGGCGGCGGCGGTGGCCATTTCCTGCTCGAAGTCCAGGGCGACGTAGCAGAGTTTCTCCTTGATGTCGCGAACGATTTCTCGCTCAGCCGTGGTGGTGAAGCTGTAGCCTCTCTCGGTGAGGATCTTCATGAGATAGTCGGTAAGATCGCGACCGGCCAAGTCCAGACGGAGGATGGCATGAGGAAGGGCGTAGCCCTCGTAGATGGGTACAGTGTGGGAGACACCGTCACCGGAGTCCAGGACGATACCGGTGGTACGACCGGAAGCGTACAGGGAAAGGACGGCCTGGATGGCGACGTACATGGCCGGGCTGTTGAAGGTTTCGAACATGATCTGCGTCATCTTTTCACGGTTAGCTTTCGGGTTGAGGGGCGCTTCGGTAAGAAGGACAGGGTGTTCCTCCGGAGCGACACGCAATTCGTTGTAGAAGGTGTGATGCCAGATCTTCTCCATGTCATCCCAATTGGTGATGATACCGTGCTCGATCGGGTATTTCAGAGTCAGGATACCTCTTTTGCTCTGGGCCTCGTCACCCACGTAGCTGTCCTTCTGACCCATACCGACCATCACTCCCTGATGGCGAGGTCGACCGACGATCGAGGGGAAGACGGCGCGGGGAGCGTCGTCTCCGGCGAAACCGGCCTTGCACATGCCGGAGCCATTGTCTACGACGAGGGCTGCTACTTCGTCATCGCACATTTTGCTGCTGTTTTATTTTTTCTGTAAAAAGAATTTTTTTTCAATTAGAAATGCGTATGTCAATTTGTGTTAATTGGTTTTTATGATTATCCAGAATGAGATATTTCATATTATTCCAGTTTTTTTATTCAATCGTATCTGTTCACAGTTTTACATAATCATATTTATTTTCGTTCGACACCTATAGAAAATATAAGCAATGTCTAATTATATCTCGTTTAGAAGTAGCTGATTCACTTCTTAAATTAACTGTACTTTAGTTTTTAGAAATACAAACTTTCCGTGAAAATGAATAATTTCAATAGAATAATAATTTCTCTTTAACATAAAATAAAATAATGTTTTAATTTTTTATATTTTTTCAAGGATCTCAACTTATTCTTATTACAAAATAATTAAAGCATTGATTGGAATAACGTTATTTTTCAGTTTTATTGTAATTAAATAATTAATTATAATAAAATTATTTTATCAAGAAAACAATTTATGTTAACTAATACTACACAACGCTTAGATAATTGGTTACTACATATTATTTTTTTAATATAACGTACAGAATTCTTTTTGTATAAACTTTTCTACTGTGTAATACAATAACACAACGATGTTCCGTCAATGTTTTACTTCACTTTAAGATCAATCCAATTTGTTTTTCCTAATTTCGATTGTATTGCAGAATTGAACTCGCCCTTAGATCGAACCCTTTGATTTACACACTGACACGATTTCCCTTTTTAGGAATCTCTTGCCGGCACTTCGTGAACTTCCAAGGGACCGAGCAAACAGAGAGGAACGTCTCGCGGGTCTGTTACTAACCGTGAGGGTGAGTTGTGAATCGACGGGCGGCTGAGGAGCGGCTGAGGCTCGAGGGCGTCGCGACGCCAGATATAACGTCCGCGGCGCGATACGCGACGCTACCGAAGATGGGCACGCGAGACGCCTCGAGGGCTGGCCAGCGATGCTGCCCACGCCTTATGCCGATGGGCACGCGAGTGGTGGTATACGGACCAGGAAGCCCGGACGACCACGAGAGACGCCTTTGGGTGAGAACGGCGGCGACGCCGTTCGCGCGCCACGACGCATCGCTCCTCGTCATCGCCGTCATTGTCGTTCTCCTCTCCCTTCTTCTTCTTCTTCTTTCTTCCCTCGTCTTCATCTTCCTCTTGTACGCGTTCTCTTGGAAATCCCCACGGAACGGCCAGCATCTCCTAATCTGGACATTAACGCGGGTTGCCGACACCGTCGCTGCAGTTATCTGCCTTTCGTCTGCCGCAGCTCATCAACAGATCTAGTCTATTTTGAGTGTTGCAACAGATTTTTAACTGAATATTACAGAGAGCAAACAAGTTTGCATAGTTGGGAGAGTTCGATCTTTTCAAAGTATTTAAAACCTAACGCAAGAGTTCTTTTCGTTGCAATCAAACTCTCATCACTGTGTTGGGAGCAGATATTTTTAATTGCTCATGTGGGAAAAGATTCTTGAAAACAATACAAAATTAACATTGTATTAAAAATTCATTAGTTATATTATTAATTAAAAGTGATATTGAAATGTCTTAAATTTTGTTATACACGTTCTCAAAACTAACGTGTGAAAAAAGAATTTACCATAAATATCACATGGATATGATTTGTAAAACATTGACATGTTTTATAAAAGAGTTTACGTTTTCCATTTTATTCATTTCTCAACATCTCTGATTCTCTTTACAACTCTCTTGTGTTTAGAAAATAAGTATTTCGGTATTAAATTATTGTATATTGCATTTAAATTCATTGTATGTATGCGAATAGTACAGTGCACGTAAAGTCTTCATCTTTTTAGTCGTTTCATCGTTTTCTTCTTCTTCTTTGGCTTTGGCTGCTCGTGGTCATTCTCGTTGCTGAAGATGCTTTTGGCATACGTTGGAAATCCCCGACGCCTCGCGGCGCTCCTGAAAATACCCACCCATGGCCAAATCAGGATATTAACGCGAGACGATATTAACGCGTACTCCTCGGAAGACAAAGTAGTCAAAGAATTCATCGTGAAAGAAACGGAGGCATTCGTTGCTACTCGTTCGTGTTGCAAACTCCTAGATTTTTTGGGTTCTGTCGCATTCTTTCCCCGTAATTGATAAAGCATTTGAAACATCACAGTCATCTCACCGCCTACCTGGCCGTGACTGTGCCCTCAGGTATTTGGACAAATTGCCAATTGGCAATTTAATTTAATCGTGCATATAATGTAACGTTACATATGTGCGTCTCATATAATAATTCATTGTTACGGCGAGGAAAAGTAAAACGGGAGGGAATAGAGCTAAGAATAAATCTCGACGATTCTTTCTCTCTCGTTCTCTCTCCCTCTCTCTTTCTTATTTAATCGGCGTTCAATTTAATTCACTCAATAGAGAACTCGTAAAACTTACCAGATAAGGCTGTAAGAAAATAATCGTGAAAGAACAGTTCGTATTTCTAATTTGACATAAGGGACATTCATTGGTTTTACTTGGTTTACTTTCCTCTTTACAAAGAAGTATTAGGAAAGATTGGTTGAGTAATCTAATCTACCTGCTTGTGTATTACTTAAGATCATTATATATTAGACGAAAGTAATTTATATTATGCTGTTCAGCCGTTGCCAGAGCTCGCTATCGCGTTATTTCTTTCACGAACGGTCTTTGGTAGCGTTTGCGTTGGCAGCGCAATAGCAAGCTCCCCGTGTGCACCCTTACTCTCGTAACAATGGCAATAATTTAGTGGCAAATTTCAATGAATTAATCTTAATTATTTTTGATAACAGATTGTTATTGAATATTCCATTCTGTTTCTTGTTATAAATAAGTAAGATTCATCATAGTGCACATACCGTACACTTAGCCGTTTTATCCTTCCGATTTCTCTTTCGGATCTTAAGAATTAGATTATCGAACGTATTATCTAGTGCTGGATCATTGAACCGTTGTAGAAAATGTCATGCTGTGATGTCCTACAAATCTTATATCTCGAACTTTTGTGAAATCTGGTACAGCCTTGACATGAAACAAATTTATTAACGCGACAGTTCAGTGAAGGAGAGAGCAAAAACATTGGAAACAGCACAACGACGTAGAACCAGAGCTTGGTATCTTTTTTTAAAAGATATAGTTACAAATATAGTTACAGCTACTAGCTGTACCAGTAGCTTTCGCCGGAAAAATAATTCAGTGCATCAATTGTATCTATATCTAAATCGAAGGAATTCAGGAAATGTAACTTGTATCGGTATCTCTTTACTGAATCCATTGAAAATTTATCTTGTATCTTTGATGAAAAAAGTCAAGCTCTGAGTAAAACATTTTATCCTACAACTGAATTTAAGTCGTAAGATTGCGAATGCAGACGCACAAATTCATTTTTTAATACCTGGTTATATTGGTATCTAATTTTCTAATATCTCATGTACATATAATTAGTATCAAGAACTTTGGACAACATGAATTTCATTTGCATACATGGTAGCGTAAGCTTCCTCAATAAGCATATCGTTTCTCTATAATTCTCTTAGCTAGCATTTTATGGGCCCACAACTAGCGAGATTCTTGTTAGATGACTCGCTTTTTTAGCATTTCGTATTTTTATAGGCGCCGGATAAAAATTTTCCACGATCTTATCTGCGCTCGGACGAAAAAGAGAATACGATAATTTACGCCTGCAACCTGAACAAACATTCAAATTGACATCTACAGTTAATTTATGTTACGACATTCTTGACATTGGGTCCCCGGCACCACCAATATTGTATGGACACTCTTCCGCTGCGTTGCCTGGTGCTTCAATTAATTTTTTTTTTTTAATCGCGAATGCATGAATGAGAATGCGAGAACCGTCGACGCGGATACTCATTCCGAACCAGATGTTTTACGTTTCTATCAAAAATATGTATCTTTCCATTAATGCGCGACAGTATTTTTCCATTTAAACAAACCTATTTGTAAATGTCGTTTCTTAGTTTCGTTTGATGTTATTCTGTGATTTCATTCTTTAATATAAAAGCAAACAACTTCCTCTCACTTCTTTTGTAAATTTGTTTATATTTATTTGAAATACTTAATATATTATAATATATTTAGAAAATATAAATTTCAATGAATATATGTGTAAATAAATAAAATTCAAAGAGTCCTTTTAGTAAAGCCAAACTCTAAAAGTGATTTTCAAAAAGGTATATTATTTCTATTGAAAGATTTAAATCTCCGGACAAAAAAAGATACCATAAAGATTTTACAAAGTTTTTAATATTTGCTGAAAATTTTTTTTAATTACGTTCTTTTTTTCTAGATTGATGAGAGCTGTGGGACCTAGAGTACATAAGGCACGTAACTTCCTCTGAAATTTTGTGCAATCTTTTATTCTGTGATTGCAATGGTTAGCCCTTGGATCGATATCGAGTCCAGAACGTGACCTCGGTTTAAAAAAGTGAAGCGAAAAGAATCGGAGGACGATAGCGAGGACGCTCTTTCCCACGAGTCCAGATTGTAAAACTGGTCAGGTAAAAACATAACATGTACGCTTTGCTATTGGACATTATTAATGTCACCATCAATTTGAGCTCATAACAATAAACAATGCAAAATACGAAAGTGACCAGCTCTGTCACAATACGTTTTTCCCAAGGCTCGTCGCGTTTTTCATTGCCGCATGCTGATCAGAACTTATCGGTCCGGAACTTATGTTGTATATCTCGAAGAGATTACGCTATGAATGTAACGATATAATGCAAGGCAATTTTGTTGCGATGTTGTGCAAAGTCCAAGGGATTATCCTGGTGAGCAAAGTGTCCTGCTTTACGCTCCGATTAATTTTCAAATAGAGAAAATCCTTGCAACAAATAATGTAATATAATGTAATAATTATTAATACCAAAAAAGTTAAATACGAAATAATATTTAGACAGATCTAACGGCAAGACATTTCCTCTTTTGCATTTGAAAAAATATGTCAAATAATACTGAAGTAATCTACTTGATAGCGTTGATATTCATATTCACAACGATAAAAAAAGTAGATAAAACAATAGACTGAAGAGCATAAAAATAGTAGGACACGACCGATCGAGTTAAAATGTAAATTTATAACAACACGACACGCCAGCAAACGACAGGACGAGCCGAACAACAGGATCGTATCCGAATTTATCGGAGTAAACGCAGGAGCCTCCATCAGATGTTGTCGGCGAAGTGGGGAAGCTGCATAAAAGATAACGTGTCTCGCTCACGGAGGTCAGTCGACGATTGGGAGGCGGTTACGAATCGCAGCTCCGGAGAACATTCGTGAAATCCCTCGCTAAGACCATAAGATCGAATTGTTTCGTAAAGCCGTAAAAGATCGGCGGGTCGATATGCTGCGCCTGTAAGTATCCCGTTAAATTCATTAACATAACGTGTACTCTTCACACTTTAAACTCGACGATTAGTTGTAACTCCGAAATGGATGTCTCAACGAAATGCGGAGGAGCAGTTACGCGATGTTACAACGATTATTTGACGATAATTTCAGAAAAATCAGTGATTGTAGCAGCAACATAGATCGTATATCGTTATATTTCCTTGCGTTAACTGTACAAATTATAACAGAAAATAATTTCTATCTGCAATGCAGAATAAATTTCTGTTAAATTGCCCGTTCTCAGAATATTTATTTAATGTCGTTTAATCATTTCGCCAGATGAGGGCGATTATCCACTTCCGATATAGTCGTATTACATATCCGAGGTCCCGTGTGGCAGGCATTTACGTTAAATATATCCGGATATACGTCGACGACATTCATGCTCTAACGAGTTAATACGCTGGACGAGTGCGCTTCACGCCTGGACGAGACTTTCAAATTGTTGTTTGACCTCGCGATGTCATTTAACATGTTGTATTTCAAACACCAATCCAAGTTTCTCGATATTTTCAATTCGACTCGGAAAAGAAACGCGATTAAAACAGAAAATTTAATTGTTCTTAAAATCGATTGATTTGTCAACACGAGGTTTTTTATCTTCTTTCAAGTAAGATTTGGAACATCTCGGTAGGATGACATGGCGATAAGCGAAAATATTATGGTAAAAATATCACAAAAACTGTTTTATCAGACATTTCGTATCACTGATGTGAAGCAATCAACGAGCAGACGTCCGATAATTTTTCAAGTGAATTCTAGAAAAGAGACTTCTGCGCCCATACTGTAATCACACGTTTCTAGAGATATACAATGTCTCTGTAGCGACACTCCGAACTCCAGTGGGCCTAATGGCATTTGACCACATGCCATACGCCAACTAGAAGTTGTAGAATTCACTTGAAAATCGCCAAAACCTATGGCCGGAACGTTTGTATTAATAAATGAAGTTTCCTGTAGCCAGTCGTGTTGGATTATTCAACTTAATTGTTAATATACTAAGTTGAAACATCTCACCCCGTTTATAATAATTCTCTAATTGGTCTTAATTTAAAAATGTAATTAGAGATTCTTCTACTTTTTTATAGCAATTATTAATAAGATTATTATTGTAATAAAATGTAATTGCTTTCAGAATCTTGGTAGCAGCAGTTGTAACTCTGGTGGCAGCCAAGCCAACGACGGAGGATGCAGTGGACCTCAGCAAAAGTTCACAAACTGCCGAAAATCTCCTGAAAAATGCCCAAGAACTCCTGAAACGTATCGACGCGCAATACGCAGAGTGGAGTAACAAACAGAGCATCGCCGGATGGAATTACGCGTCGAATCTGACGGATGAGAACCTGGCGGAAAAGCTGAGTGTATCTACGGCGGCAGCGCGCGTCTCCAAGCAGATTGCTCAAGAAGTGAATGCCTTCCCTTGGAGAGACTTGGAAGATGAGTCTATCAAGAGGCAGTTCAAGAAACTCGGTGTACTCGGTATCGCCGCTCTTCCTGAAGACGTGAGAATACAAAAGAGATTTATATTAATCATTTTAGCCGTAAATTTTCCGCGAAAAAAATTAGCGAAAAACATAAATCGGAATCCGAGGAACTGAAGTGCTAGTTTTAAGTCCTGTTTGTTCCCTCGAAAATTCGCTTTAAGGATTAGGATATCTAGACAAGCGTCAATTGACCAAAATTGCGAACAGACGTTAGATCGCTACCGAGCGATATATGATTGCAGAGTTACAAAGAGTTCGAGACGACAGTCAGTCAGATGGAGAACATCTATAGTACTGCAAAGATCTGCGATTACAAAAACAAGAGCAAATGCGATCTCGCGCTCGAGCCGGAGATCACGGAGACGCTGATGCGTAGTCGCGATCCTGAGGAGTTGAAGCACATCTGGGTGGAGTGGAGGAAAGCATCGGGAGAGAAAGTCAAGTCTCTGTACCCCAAGTACGTCGAGCTAGCCAACACTGCGGCAAGACTTAATAACTTCTCCGACTATGCAGCATATTGGATGAAGGACTACGAGGCCGATGATTTCCCCGAGCAAATCGGTAAGGTCATCCGCAGCATCTGATGAATTCGCATGTGACGAGGCACTGATAAAATGGCAAAATCTGTACAGAGAACCAATGGCAACAGTTGAAGCCGCTGTATTTGCAATTGCATGCCTACGTACGGCGCGAGCTCAGGAAGAAGTATGGCGCGGACATTGTCACCGAAGACGGTCCAATCCCGGCGCATCTATTGGGCAACACCTGGGCACAGACTTGGTCGAATATCGCGGACTTCACCGTGCCGTTCCCGGGCAAACAACTGCCGGACGTTACCGCCGCTCTAGTCGAACAAGGCAGGTTTATGTCTGAATCTTTCGAGAAACTTTCGTTTGGACCACTTTATTTCCAGCTCATTTTCTACGTCTGTATGCCTGTTGTAATACTTTGTAACTTTCTGAGCAGGTTACAATGCGACGAGCATGTTCCGCCTCGCCGAGAACTTCTTCACGTCGATCAATTTGTCTGCCATGCCGGACGTGTTCTGGGAAAAATCGATTCTGACGAAGCAGGAAGGCGTAGAAATGATCTGTCACGCGAGCGCGTGGGACTTCTACGACGGCCAGGACTTCAGAATCAAGCAATGCACGCGCATTAACATGGAAGACCTGCTGACGGCACACCACGAGATGGGCCACGTCGAGTATTATCTACAGTACAAGAACCAGCCTACAGTTTTCAAGGAAGGCGCGAATCCAGGTTTCCACGAGGCGGTCGGTGACGTTATCTCTCTCAGCGCGTCCACTCCTAGTCATCTGAAGAAGATCGGTCTACTGAAAGACGACTCGACGGACCAGGAAGCGCTTCTCAATCACCTCTACGCGAAGAGTCTCGACAAAATCGTCTTCCTGCCGTTCGCTTATATGATGGATCGATGGCGTTGGAATGTATTCCAGGGAAAAGTCACATCCGACAATTACAACTGCAACTGGTCAGTTCTGAACGACGAAAATCTATCCTCGTATAATTGTGTTTTCTGAGCAATATTCTTTCTCAAATTAATTTCGGTTTAGTAGGCTAAATTTTCAAGAAATTAAATTATAGAGATGTTTGAAGCAAGTTCAAATGTTTTACTCTTTAAGGTGGTCGCTCGCTGAAGAGTATCAGGGAATCGAACCTCCCGTGGATAGATCGGAAGAAGACTTCGATCCTGGCTCGAAGTATCACATAATCGCGGACGTTGAGTATATAAGATACTATGTGAGCTTCGTAATACAATTCCAGTTCCACAAGGCACTGTGTACTAAGGCGAAGGAATACGATCCGAATAATCCAGATGCCAAGCTGTTGAGTCAGTGTGATATTTACAATAATAAAGATGCTGGAAATCTATTGAAGTAGGTTTGATACACGACAGCATTATAAGAACGCAATTCGAGCATAGAGACATTGATCGCATTTGTGTTAGATCTATGTTGGAGCTGGGCTCTTCGAAACCATGGCCCGACGCGATGGAGAAAATCTCGGGTCAGAGGCAAATGGACGCGGCTGGACTTTTGGAATACTTTAAGCCCTTGACAGATTGGTTGACCGAAGAAAACAAGAAAACTAATGAATACATTGGATGGAAGCCTAGTAAAAAACGTACGTCACAAATATGTATATAAAATACTTCATGCAGTTTAATTCATATTTTTATATGTTATGTATATATAATATTTCAGATGTTTCTATAATAACTGAGATATAGAATTCTAATTACTTGTTTTCTTTTTAGAATGCGTACAGACGAGAGGGGAGCTTGTAAATTAGATCTATTGACTTTCGGAATAATATACTCCCCACTAATAAAAAAAGAGAATAGGAAATATATTTTGAAACGAACACCAAACATTCCATTTTGACGCAATAAATATCGAGCAATGAACAAACGTTCATGATTAATTTTGTTTCAAGTTTTTCTAAATAAACTGCATTCCACCTTTTAATATTGTCTCCTATTTTGCTTTGCCGCGTCCTCTTCCGCGTTTCTTAGTTGGCTCGCCTTTCTTCGTCGATGCAGAAGCTTTACTAGTACTAGCAGCGGTAGGTTTTTTTGCCTAAAATATATTACATGATCATATTTTTTCGAAAAATTTGTGTATTTTATAATGGAATCACGAAAATAATTTTTAACGTTACCTTGATCATCTTATCAGATTCAATATCATTAGTTTCTTCTTCATCATCATCTTCTTCTACGAAATCATTGTCTTGTACAGTTTTTTTCTTCGCTGTAGCAGTACTGTTGATTGCGTATGGCAACATAGGAGGATTCTTTTGATACGCTCGTGTAAATGCTGCCTTTACCTGACAGCAACATTAATTTAATTAAAACCTTTGTAATACAAAGCTACCACAATGATTATTAAGTGATTTATTAATATTGCCCATACTTTACTATCAAGATTAGTTGTAATGTCGCAAAGTCCTGGCCACTGAGAGATTTCTATTGCTGAATCCAAGTCTTCCCTAAGGAGATATTAAACATCAGCATATGTTTCCCCGTACTTTTCAATGTATCCAATGTAAACAGAACACGAACCTGGTCATATAATACTTTCCCATAACATTGATTGCTGCTTCTATACCATCCGCGCCGTCGTCTATCAGAGGTTTTACGATGGCGTTTCGAATATGAGCCAGATAATCCATGTTCAAGGCGTCCTTGTTTGCACCCGTGGCTAATCGTGTATGCGTCGACAGCTCTTGCATTAATCTAGAGGTAACATATAGAAAACAAAATGCTACTAGTGAATGTCGGTACAATCACATAATAGTTGCTTTCCTTTTACATGAAAACTCAGATAAATCTCACTTGTGACGTCATAACTCAGTTGAATGCATGTTCCTTTTGATTCTTGAGAAGTGAGATTCAACCAGATTTAACTGAGTTTTTGCACACGATCAAGACCGTGTGCTTTAATGAGTTTAATAGACTCACATTAATGACGTCATATCTGACAATGAGTATAAAATACTCGCATAACTGAGTGACTCAGTATCACTTGAGTGTAAAAGGAAAGCAGCTTATGATAAAATTTAGTGTTCTGCAGTTAGTACCGGTTAAATCTCGTTGCCTTGGAATTTCGCCCGAACCAGCTCGGAAATCGTATCAACGGATCAGAGCATCCCGACATTTCGCTAGCTGGTAAAACGAACGAGAAACAAGCATGCATCGGAAGTAGGCTCCACATCATACCGCTTCTCATCACTTTCTCGACGAGGTCTCCTCGAGATATACTATCAGCCGCACGGGCGATTCTTTCTAGCCTCTGGTAACTGCGAATGTAACGCAATTCATTAACACTTGACTCCTCGTACAAAGTATAATTAAATAACAAATAATAAGGATAACGTCGACAATTAACTGGCTCAATATATTTCGTTTAGAAAATACAACGTTTCGACCAGTAATACTGGTCCTTATCAAGTATAAAAAAATATAATTAAATACTCACGGTGACACTTGAGACAATCTGACTCCCGGATAATTTTCTTGTATGAAAAGGGGCGCTATATTGTAATCGTTGAAATATAAGCCGATTTTATCGTTCAAACTCATACGTTTTTGCTCTTCCGCATTGAACGCCATTTTTGTGACGTCGAATGGGCCGAGCTTGAAGTCCTTGTTCGAATGTTTCTTGTCAGACGTCTCCACGTGAGGGATTTGGCTGCCAAGAAATTCCAGATGATTTACCACTTGTCGAATATCGTAATTCGTCGATTCAATTAGACGATCGAGGTCCTCCGTCGAGATCTTGATGTTCTCTTTAAAGCACAGGGACTTCATAAAACTCTACGAGGAACAAGATCGAGTTATATCACATGAGACATAAGAATCGTTATTCGAGCCAGATTCTATGAATTATACCCTGATCTGTTCCACTCTGAGCTTCGGATATTTCAGATCGTAGCTGTGCGTGGAAATTGTTTTCACCTTCGTATTAAATCGGTCATTACATATACAGATAATCGGCACTTCTGTGTGTTTTATCAAACTAACTAATTCCTGTAAGCCACCGCGATCTTCATTGCCAGCCATACCGTCGACTTCGTCCATCAACAGTACGTGCTTGGTCGTAATTTTTTTCTTGGAACCTATAACATATATTGAATGAGATAATGTATAATTATTTCAAGATTTTATATTAAATAGCCACCTGTGACATAATCTTTCATTGTGGTGTTGGACAACAACCCCGAGACCGATTCTTTCAAAAGTGCTTTGTTTCTCGTGTCAGAAGCATTGAACTCCACAAGATCGTATCCCAATTCTTTACAGACAACTTGCACAGTTGTTGTTTTACCAACGCCTGGTGGTCCGGACAGCAAGGCAGCTTTGAAATTTTGTCCGTGAGTTTGTCTGCCGGCTTTGAAGCAAAAAGGAAATTCATCAGATTAATATCCTCATTTTATCCTTAGTACGATTTGATAAAAGAACGACGATAAAGGCTGATGTACTACCGTCTTTGAATTTGGGATCCTGACGACTTTTATGCCAATCACGTAGCCATACGTATAAGTTGTGTGCACAGCTCTTGTCCCCCTGTTGACCTATGATCTGCTTCATAGTTTTAGGTCTATACTTCTCAACTAACGGTTCTGACCCAATGCTCGTAGTTGTCTAGTAGAATAATAGAGAGAAAGCCGTGATTTAAGTTTTAATTTATTTTACACCATTTTTTTGCACATGTGCAGACGCGTCAAATTGATATCTAAATTTACCTTTTCTGTACTAATGTTTGGCAATAATGTTTCCACCGGTGAAGATGGTGGCGTTTTTATCTTTTTAGCTGAACTTAATGCTTTTACTTCGTTCGACGATGACGATTTATCGCTCTCAGATTTATTCAATACATTTTTCACGCTTGGTTTCGTCTTTGTCGGCTTGACATTTACAGCTTTACCTTCCGGTCTCGTGCGAATCATTTCTAGAAGGCCATCCTCAGATATTTGCTTGATGCCTAAACTGCTAGCCTGAAAGCTTATTTCGTGTCAACCAAAAACAAAAGGTATGTGCCACATAGCCATCTAAAAAAAATGTACTTTTGCCAATTTAGCTGGGCCAGCTACATCTCCTACTATAACATAATTTACTTTGCTTGACACACTGTTCACGGTTCGGCCACCATATTTCTGTATTAATTCCTCAACTTCATTTCTTTCTAAAGAATCGAAAACACCAGTACTCAAGAAAGTTACTCCAGCTAAGCAATTCTCGGCACCCTGAAAGACAAGAGTCGATTGAAAATCTTGTCAAACAACAGTCTCTACATTCACCTCTACATCATCTTCCAGAATTTCCAACATTATTGTTTAACAAAGTTCTTACTGTAGATTACTTTAGGCCGGCAGATGGTTTAATGATGACGTAATATTGTAAGTTTTCGAAAAGAATTTCACTATGTACGTATTGATTGCGTTGATTTTGTTTTGTAGTCGACATACTTTTGAGTTGCAATGTCCTTTGATAAAACTTGTAGACTGTTGAATTCCTTGAGAAGGACAACCCGTACGGTCGAAACGTCGGATTTAAATAAATACACCATCCGCCAGCCTAAGGTCGTCTAGCAATTCTTTTTATCGTTAATCAACTGCCGGCGATTCACATTCTTTCGTTCTTACCGTAGGTATCTCTTTTGAGCCAGGATTTTTAGCGCCGCCTCTCTGAAGGTATTTTTCGTACAATATAGCACGCTGCTTCTTCTTTTCTATCCTTTCATCGAATAAATCCGTTTTGGCTTTCTTCCTACTTGGTGATTTCCCTGTACCTTTGTCCTCCTCCGACGCAGAGGTAGACGTCAAATTATGCCTCAAGTTATCGGAATTCAATTGCTTAGAAATCTTATCGTCGCGCTTATCGCTTATACTTAAGTCTATGTTAAAACCGCCTTTCCTCTCGGATTGTAATTTCTGTTTCGGAGAACTTTTAATATCCTTTGAATTTATACTATTTTTACTGGGCAAAATCTTCATCTCCTCGGGGTTCAGTTTACTCGTTTTGTTAATGGCCTCTTTCGAACAAGCGTCGTATTTTCTCTTATTAGAGCTCGCCTCTGTAAATTTTCCATTATGTCAAATTTATATAACAATATTTAGCTGAACTTTTAATGAAGTGGCAATAGGCATACCTGTCTTAGCCGCAACTCCAGATTTCTTAGGAGTACCTCCATTTTTAGCACCGCTTTTATCTTTCATTTTATCCGGCGTTCTGGTATCCTCAAACGTGTCCAACTGTTCAAGCACCGCATCGAAATCGTCGTCGTCGTGAAACTTGGACTCCTAGAAATTCCAGAATGAATTCCAGAAAGCCGTAGAACATTTCTTCATTTCTCCATGTACACTCGCTACGCGATATTTACCACTTTCTGCAATTTTTGGTCGACTTTTGTGTCGTCTACTCTCGTTATTGGCTTCTTGCCAAAAAATTCATCGGCCGATATTGCTGCGAGTGGCTTCTCGCTCTCATTCTTCTTACTCGCTTCAGGTTGTCTGTTGTCTTTCTTGTCATATACCACGATGTCGTCATCAGAATCGGACAGGATGGAAGCTTTTTTCGTCTTTCGCACGACCTGCGCGATTAATTAGTCAAATTGGCATATTGCAAACAACGAAGTGAATGCCAAGGAATTCAAAGGAAATGTAAAGGAACTGCAAAGGAGTGTGAGAAATAAAATAAATCCACTAAATACGTAGCGAAGACGCGAGGTGGCACCTTGGTACGCTTCGTGGACGACCTCGGCCTCTCTTCATCCTCGTCCGACGAAATGACACGCCGCTTCTGAGGCTTCGGGGCGACGGGCTCGCATTTCTTCCTCTGCGTAGACGCGATCGGCGCGAAGTAGGATCTGATGTCCTGCGGAAACGAAAGGGTTTGATACACGTGAAGCCAGAGCAACGCAGTTAACCTAACCGGCAGCCCCCGGCCAACCTACCCGCGACATTTTCGCGGCGTATCCCGCCGTGTATGCTCGACCCGTATGCGCACGTATCGCCCGCAACTGTCACGCCGGCATCATCGGCAGAGTCTTGTTTTCGCGAGGCAACGCCAGCCGATCTTCCTGTCAGACGCGCACATTGACACCCGCAAATCGGCGCGAATAACTCGCGCGCGCGCGATCAATGGTACGTTTCCACTCGCGTCACATGGTCCTCAAGCACTAGGATTGGCTGCAAATCATACAAATTGGCAGAGAGAAACCTATGAACGGCCCCAACAAGCACGCGGTGACGAATGCGCCCTCTGCAGCTTGACCGGTTGGCGCATGGTGTAAAGATACAAGGTGAAACATTTTGGGGGCAAATTGTTTCAAGGTTGGGGCAAATTTTCTGATTGGTCAATTCGGTAGGTTTGGGCCACTTCTGATTGGTTGGCACTGCGCATCCACCAGATTGCTTCACCTTGTATCTTTGGTTGGGTTGGGCATTTAACGTCAAAGCACTCGCTGTTCTCGCCTTTTTCGCCGGAGTCCGGGTTCAGACTTCCAGAGCAGAGGTTGTTCGGGCTCCTCCGTGGCGGATTCCGGCCAATTCCGGCGCGGTCGCTTTTCCTTCGTCAGGGCGATCTCCGTTTCTTTCAGTATTTAAAGTACTTATCCTACTTTCTCCACTTTTCATTTGGAATCTTGTGGCTTGCAGGGATTGCTATAAGGAGAGGGAAAAACCGCTAATGACTTAACGCTAGGTTAAGAGTTTAAAGCACGTGTTGCGTACACGTGGGAGACAGAGGGAGAGAGATTTCTTTCCCAAGCGTGAGTCTCCTAGTAAATTTCGATCGAAATAAGCCGGCGCGCGCGACAGAGAGAGAGAGAGGGTAATTATTGCAGAATTGATTCGATTGTTTGCAGTTGTATTTACATCAGGATCAAACATGGTGAAGGAACAGTTCAGGGAGACTAACATCGCCAGCGAAGTGTACGTAAAGCTATTTTCACCTCGACGCATTTGACGAAGGAAGTATTGTCTTCGTCGAGTTCTCCCGGGCGGATAATAAACCGCCGGTACCGGAGGGGAGTCCTCTATTATGAGACAGCAGGTTTTCAACATGAAACCTTAACTAAACTTTCAACTCGGTCCTTTTCAGACGTGAATCAATTACGGCGTGAACGCCTTTTTAGGACCTGGCACAGACGGAGGTGGCCACTTGAATTATCATGTGAATCTGTATACCGCACACTGAAAAGAATCTGATAGATTCAACCAGCCGTCTGTTAGAAAATGGACGAATCAGAATTCCTTTAGGATTTACCAGAATTTCTTGGCTATAAATTCACGATGGGGCCAATAACCGTCGTCTCGTATTAGAAGCTTATCTCATAATAGAGGACTTTCCTGTGTATTGCGTCACAAGCGTAACGTGTGGTCTCTTAGTTGAAATTTTCCATGTTCAGCTCCCACATATCCTTCGGAGTGGACAGCCAGAATGTTATGTTCATGCAGGCCAGCGTGGAGGTGTTTTCCAAAAGTTTGTACAATGAGGATACAAGGCGTACTCCGGCATTGTACGGAGCGCTCGATAGGCGCATGGTATTTATAAGTTGTACAGCCCTATGTCATTTGCGCTTGGACAGAATTGCTGAGAATTGACGCTTTTGTTCGTAGGGAGTCAGCTCGACGGGACTCGAGTGCGAAACGTGCGGCAAAAAGCTGAATGACTGCGTAGGACACTTTGGATATCAGAACCTGCAACTGCCGGTCTTTCACGTCGGCTACTTTAAATCCATCATCCAGATTTTACAGACGATATGCAAGGTAATACGTAGCTTCAGTGAGATTCAACAACTTTGCCAATCGCGTCCCGTACTGACAGATTAATTTCTCCACAGAAATGCGCGCACGTTTTGCTGACGCGAGAAGAAAGGAGATGTTTTTTGGTCAAAATAGAAGCTCCGAAACTGGGGTACTTGGCGCGCAAAGGGTTGCGTAAACAAGTCTGGGAGAAGGCTAAGAAGAAGACGGAATGCCCGAATTGCAAAGCGAATAATGGCCCCGTGAAAAAGGCCGGTTTCCTTAAAATTGTACACGAGAAGTACAAGAACTTGAAAAAGACTGATCCCATTTTTCAAGACACGTTGGCTGACCTGACTCCAAAGATGGAACGCGACAAAGAGTTTAAGAATATAATAGACCAAAATTACAGAAGCACATTCGACGAGTATCTGTATCCGAACTTTGTACGATTCAAAGAAAGAATACTCCATATATTTTGTTTAATATACTTCTGCGTTTATACAATTTATATATTTTCATAATATACGAACATTCTTTAAGGTGGCAGAACTTTTCGCTAGAATTCCGACGGTCGACATTTGTCTGTTGTTAATGCATCCTGACTGCGCAGTACCAGAAAATTTACTACTAATGAGGATTCCTGTGCCGCCAATTTGTATTAGACCCAGCGTTTTATCTGATCTAAAGGCTGGTACCAATGAGGATTATCTGACGATGAAATTGTCAGAAATAGCTCTTATCAATGACGTTATTCGTAAGCAAACGGGTGTTAATATGAATATGTACATGGAACATTGGGATTTTCTTCAGCTGCATTGTGGCCTTTATATTAACAGCGAAATGTCCGGAATACCTTTACACATGCAGGTAAGCTTCTTAATAAACGTCTGAGGATCAGTTTGCATTTTCTTGCGTCTAATACATATTAACACTTTCAGCCTAAAAAGTTTGGCAGAGGTATAGTGCAAAGATTGAAAGGGAAGCAAGGTCGTTTCCGAGGTAACTTATCTGGTAAACGTGTCGACTTTACTTCTCGCACAGTAATTTCGCCCGATCCAAACCTCAGAATAGATCAAGTAGGTCTCGTGACAATTTCAATCACAATTTCACCTGGCACGATGCTAGAATGTATTTGATAATATTGGATCTCTATTTGCGCAGGTTGGTGTACCTTTGCATGTTGCAAAGACCTTAACGTATCCTGAAAGGGTCACTCCATCAAACATAGATCTAATGCGGAAATTAGTCAGAAATGGCCCGGACAAACATCCCGGTGCGAACTATGTACAATTTAAAAACTCGCAGTTTAGGCAATACCTTAAATATGGCGATCGGAATAAAGCAGCTCAAGAATTACAGGTAATTTCCAAACATTAATATGATCTTCAGATGTATATATATCAGAACATTAATATATTTTAATATGGAGGAAAGTTTCCTATTATGAGATAAGTAGTTAATGTGGTTAATGAATCCTGCCTGCGCAGTACCAGAAAATTTACCACTAATGAGGATTCCTGTGCCGCCAATTTGTATTAGACCCAGCGTTTTATCTGATCTAAAGGCTGGTTCCTAATAAGAAGTAGCGGAGTTTCTGCTAAATTAATAGGCATCAACTGTTGGTTCCATCATAAATTTATCGCCCTTGGAGCAAAATCTAGTGGAAAATTCATTGTCAATTTTTCTACACCAATTGTCTCTTTGCAGTATGGTGACATTGTCGAGAGGCATCTCAAAGATGATGACTTAGTGCTGTTCAATCGGCAGCCGTCTCTACACAAATTAAGCATCATGACACACAGAACCAAGGTACAGGAGCATCGAACGTTCACATTTAACGAGTGCGTCTGTACACCTTATAATGCGGATTTTGACGGAGACGAAATGAATCTTCATCTACCACAGACTGAGGAAGCTAGAGCAGAGGCGTTGGTCTTGTTGGCGGTAAAATTATACTTGATTAATATACGTTTGCAGAGCTCCATATAAATATGCTGAAATATTTTGTTCTTTGTTTATAGAATAAATCCAATCTGGTTACACCTCGCAATGGTGAGATATTGATAGCAGCGACGCAAGATTTTATCACCGGTGCTTATCTCTTGACCCAAAAGGACATGTTTCTCACGATAGAGCAAGTTAGATTCGCTCTTTGCATCTTAGCCGGCCAAGATTCTTCCATGATCGTAACTCTTCCTCAGCCTGCAATATTAAAACCGACGAAGTTGTGGACCGGTAAACAAATATTCAGTCTGATTATGCGGCCGAATGAGGAATGTCCTGTCAAAGCAAATCTAAAGACGAAGGGCAAGGCGTATACCAACAGCGAAGAATTGTGCATTAATGACTCTTGTAAGTAGTAACTGCGCGTTGTAATCTTGTCGTTCGTGTTTGTTAAATGATCGAAATTTAAATCCACAGACATCGTCATTCGCAACTCCGAGCTTCTAGCGGGAATAATGGATAAATCTATATTGGGCTCAGGGTCGAAGCAAAATATATTTTATATTTTGCTGCGTGATTGGGGTGAGGATGTTGCAATCACAGCTATGTGGCGTTTAACCAGAATAGCGAATCATTTCAATTTCGGGAAAGGAATTTCTCTCGGTATCAGTGATCTTATACCCAGTCAAGGCCTTCTTCAAGCCAAGGAAGAAATGTTAAACGCCCAGTACGAATAATTCCATGTTTAAATTCGACAGACTGCTTTAAACAAGTAATTAATTCTAATTGTTCTTTTTTTTCGACAGTTACTCCGAATGTAAGAAGTATATTCAGCTAATGGAACAGGGTCGTCTCGTTTGTCAACCCGGATGTTCAGAAGAGGAAACACTGGAAACGAAAATATTGACCGAGCTCTCGGTGATTCGTGAGAACGTTGGTAGAGCATGTTTAAAGGAATTACATCCTACTAATACTCCTTTGACTATGGCGCTGAGTGGAAGCAAGGGTAGTTTTATTAACATCTCTCAGATGATCGGTAAGTTCAAGTAATCACGAATATATTTTATTGCTCGCGAATGTTCTGACACAATTGACACAATTTCTCCCTTCAGCCTGCGTAGGCCAGCAAGCTATCAACGGACGCAGAGTGCCGGACGGATTCGAGAATCGTGCATTACCTCACGTAATGGCGCGACTGAAGACGCCGGATGCCAAAGGCTTTGTGGAGAATTCATTTTATTCGGGATTACAGTCCAAGGAATTCTACTTTCACGCGATGGGCGGTCGGGAGGGCCTCACGGATACCGCTGTGAAAACTGCGGAGACCGGATACATGCAGAGGCGATTGATCAAGAGTTTAGAGGATCTGTGTATTCATTATGATATGACGGTGCGCAACTCGATGCGCGATATGATACAGATGTCATACGGCGGAGATGGATTGGATCCTACGTATATAGAAGGTTTGTGAACGTTATTCCGCATCTCGTGTAAATTTCACTAACAATACGCATTTTTCTACAGGTAAAGACGGTCCCGTCGATTACAAACGAGTGTACGACCACGTGCGAGCAAAAATGCCTCATAAAAGCGAAGCGCCTTTAGACGCCGCCAGTGTTATGAATGCCACGAATGAGATGCTATCTTCCGAGGAGTACGAGTGCCTGAGTGATGAATTTAAGCAAGAACTACTGTAAGATAATATGCACGATGCTTATATGATACGCGGAGAATTTCAGTAATTCGGCTAAGACGAATTGTGAACATTGTTTTTCGCAGCGCTTTTCTGAAGTCGGTGGCGCGAAAGATAGCATATTATCGACAAAACTTTCCATCGAATTTGCCGGTAGTCTCTCAACTCGAACGTTTCACCGTCTCGCAATTGGTAGAGTTCATTCATACGTGTAAGGAGAAGTACATGAAAGCCAAGATAGAACCGGGCACCGCCGTAGGCGCACTCGCCGCGCAAAGTATCGGCGAGCCGGGAACTCAGATGACGCTCAAAACGTTCCACTTCGCCGGTGTAGCGGCCATGAACATCACGCAGGGTGTGCCACGTATTAAGGAAATTATTAACGCGAGTCCGAAGATCAGTACTCCCATCACAACAGCGATATTGGTAAATCATTAATCCGACCAGCCGCGTGTTCTATGTGAAATACGATCGTAGTCGACTAATCCTTTATCTTGCAGGTCAATGATACGGATTCTGAGTTTGCTGAACGAGTGAAGGCAAGAATCGAAAAGACGACTCTGGCAGACGTGGCTAAGTATATCGAGGAATTATACACGCGCGATGATCATTTTCTTGTAATAAATCTAGATATGGATAGGATTAAAATGTTGAAGTTAGAAGTTGATGTTAATTCTATATGCTACACGTAAGTACGTTTGAAAACTTGAGAGTTTTGTTCTGTCCTCGTTGCAATTATTAATTTATTTTTACATGTGTATCGCAAAGACAAAACTTTACGTGATTTCTTTCGTTTAATGTTGTAATTACAGTGAAAAATAGGAGTTTTAATAGTAGAAATTGTAAGTTTAAAAGTAATTTTTATACTTTCGTGCGATAACGATTCATGATTCTAGACTTTGTACATCAAAATTGAAGCTGACGTCAAAGAATATAGAAGTGATAGACAATTCAATTATTATTATTCGACCAAATCGACAAAAAGACGGTTCCAATTTTCCGTTTCGTCAATTGACAGAGGCCATTCCGAATGTTGTAGTAAAGGTAAAAATATATAACAATGCGATGTCAATAAAATATTAATTTTACACCTATAGAAAAATATTGTATGTTTACGTTTTTATTTCTAGGGCTTATCGACAATCAATAGAGTGGTTGTTCACAACGAGAATCTCGATGGCAAAACGAAATTTACACTATTTGTCGAAGGAGATAATTTTAGAGAAGTTATGGCAACACCCGGTATCATCGGCGAGAAGACGAAATCGAATAATACGATAGAAGTGAGTTGAGCGAAACCATGCGAATGTTGAGTAACATATTTACGATCTATTGCATCTTAGGTTTTCAAAACGCTTGGGATAGAAGCAGCGAGAGCAACTATCATGTCCGAAATTAAATCGGTAATGGAAAATCACGGAATCAGTATTGATTGTCGACATTTAATGCTCTTGTCAGATTTAATGACTAGTAGAGGAGAAGTGCATGGTATTACGAGGACGGGATTGGCAAAAATGAAAGAATCGGTCTTAAACTTGGCATCGGTGAGATTTGCCACTTTTCACGATTTCATCCATTTCTGTTACGTGTTTCCTATAATACAAAATAAAATTCTGAAGTCGAACTTAGTTTCCCTTAGTCTTCAAACTTGAATTATATTCTAAGGAAAATTGGAAATATTTTACGCAACCGAGCTATTTGTTTACAGTTTGAGAAAACGGCAGATCATTTATTCGATGCGGCTTATTATGGACAAAAGGACATTATATGCGGCGTATCGGAATCAATTATAATGGGTATTCCAGTCCCACTAGGCACGGGAATCTTCAAGCTGCTTCAAAAATATCCTTTTTATATTACGTTTATATGTATAAGCGCGAAAAGTTACCTATTAGTTAACCATTATATTTTTTAAATATAAAAAATACATTTATATATTAAAAAAATATAAATATATAATATATTTAACAAAATATAATGGTACAAAAAGAATACTTATAGCTGCCCTTATGGAAAAGCAACGAAATAATTATTAGGAAATTACTGATGTTACAGTAATTTTCTAGTAATTATTTCATTACTTTTTCGTAAGGATGGATATTTAATATATGTTCATTATTTTCCTTAATAATTAAACACGGCAGATAAAAACGAACCAATCAAGAGGGAACTTCTATTTGATGATCCACAGTTTCACAACCCACTTTCTGAAAAAAGATCTCGGCGAATACGACCGCGTCCAATATTTCAAGTTTAGTGTTAATAAAATATTTTACATTTAATGACAAGAAAAACTAATTTACTTCAGTAAGAAAAGACATCCTTTCACTTTGTCCGATCTCTGTGATATTAATTCTGATGATCATGTCACTTATGTATAAAGCATTATTTACCTTAGGTACTTTTATATAGCGACTTGTATCTACCTGTATTTATATGAATAGAAGTTGTGTTGCTAGGAGACAGCATTGTTTGATCTAAATTCGTTCCCCCTACCAACATCTTCTCGCGCATGTAATCTCTCTTGCAACATTCGAATAAAATGTTTAACGTGTAATTTAAACTCTGTATCGAAAGAGAGACACCGAGCATTGAGATGGTGAATGAAAAGGAATTTTGGACGGAAGTGCGGAAAGATATACCGCGATACAGAAAGAGAAAGCCACGAGTAGTTCCTGCGTTCACTATTCAGGCGTTGCAGGTAACGCGCGTTAATAGAATAATGACATCGGGATGAATGCAATAACACGGGATCGATTTTGAATACAGGAAAATACGGTTGTAGCGAAACCTCCGCCGTGTGGACTGTACAAACCTCGTCCACCGAAGCCGTCGATTTTCAGAAAGTTTTACAAGCGCGGCGTATTCCCCATCTCCTTGGAGAACGACGGCTACGATCAGAAAATTAATTGGAAGATAGACATAGAAGATTTGGATTTCCATCACTATTTGCCAATGTTTTTCGATGGATTAACGGAAACGGAACAACCGTACAAGTTTCTGGTAGAGCAAGGAATATCAGATATGCTAGAGCACGGTGGGCCAAAGATACTGCCTGTTGTTCCGCAGTTGATCATTCCTATTAAAAGTAAGTTTTGTGATTCAAATTAATGTAGAAAAGGTATTTATACTGTAATTAAAAAAACGAGATTGTTAGACGCCTTGAATACAAGAATGCCCGAGATAATCTGTACCACGATGAAAGCGCTTCAACGTTTAGTACGATCGGCTGACTGCGTCGGTGAAGCCCTAGTCCCTTACTTTAGACAAATCTTGCCTATTCCAAACTTACTCAAAGATAGAAATGGTGAGCGCTCGTCTTTAACACTTTTTATAATGGTGCACAAATAGAAATAAGATCTTTCGTAATTACAGTAAACCTTGGCGAGGGCATCGATTATTCTCAACAAAGAGGAGAGAACGCAGCAGATATTATACAAGAAACGCTCGAAATCTTGGAAAGATACGGTGGTGAGGATGCTTTCATAAATATTAAATACATGGTTCCCACCTATGAATCCTGCATGATGAATTAATAGACAGACGACAACACTGTGCAAGCCTATTAATAAATTTTTTTTATTCATGAAATTTAACGCACAAAATCAAAATGCATGCAAAGTTTAACAAGTCATACATAACATAAAGATATATAATAAAGAAAGAATATTAACACATGATATACATTATGAAAATATATACTGCATTATATGTTTGGAACTTTACTAATAATGCCATTACGTATACCTGATATACTCTTTTAAAAATTCTTTATAAAAAAGAAAATAAAATCTCTGATAAGAAAAGCTAAATGTTCCACTGTTATACAGTAAAGCACACATTTTGTCTCAGCGTAGAAAAAGTATAACAATAGTAAAAATAGATAGTAGTAGAAATGTTTTTGGCGATACGATTTCTTGAAAAATATATTTATATCTTTCCTGTATCTTCCTTCAATGTTACAGTGCGGTTGAAAACAAGCTGAAATAAAAAAGAAAAAAAATGTTAATGCCATGGGCGGTTCAAGTGTGCTGATACTTTTTAACTTACCTTACTAGCTTTGGTATCGGGATCGACAGAAAAGAAGCCTATACGTTCAAACTGAAACTTATCATATACTTTCGCCGTTTTAGCTAGACTGTTGTCCATGTACGCTACAATTTCCTTTTTACTGGATGGATTAATATCACTTAAAAATCCATGCGGTACCTCGTTTGTATCTTCCGGATTTTTGTGCTTGAACCTACGAGTTGAAGATATTTCAATAACATTTCCAGTGTAAAGCCATCATAAATAATTTGAAAAACGTTACTCACAAACGCTCATACAGTCTAACAGATGCCAGTACTGGATGGGACACCCAGTGTATAAATGCCTTCGGTTTATTCTTTTCTGAAACAGGGTCTTGCCTAACAATTATGTTTGTAATATTACCACTGGCATCCTTCTCGATACTTTCGAACGTTATTACGACACCCGCATGTTTCAAGCCCACGGGTTGTTTCGGTGTCAAGCGTCTAAAACCTTTCTCTTCAATCTGCAAGTATTGATACCCCAGGTAAAACCACAATTGTAAAAAGTTGTCAAAAAGAGAATCCGAAATCTATTGCGTACCTCTTTGAAGTCCGTAGCCTCGATATACACAATCTCATCAAATGTAATCTCATGATGGCCTCTTTCTGGATCGTTAGGAAAATCGGGTGCAGTGAGCTTTATGGCATTTTCTTGAGGGAAATTTTTGACGGTCAACTTGATAGGCTCTAAAACCACCATGTGTCGGGCGGCAGTGGAATTTAGAACGTCCCTAACAGCTGCTTCCAACGCTGTGGGATCGATGGTTGCTTGCACACCAGTTACACCCATCTGAGCACAAAAATTGTTTATAGCCTCTGGTGGAAATCCCCGTCTACGTAGTGCAGTCAACGTAAACAGTCTACAAAAAGAAGGCGATACAATACATTAATATCATTTATTAGTAAAATACGAAGGTAATATTAGTTGTACTATTATACCTGGGATCATCCCAATCGGACACTATTCCCTCGTGTATCAATTTGGCAATCTTTCTTTTGGAAACTACAGTATAATTAACGTTCAATCGGCCGTATTCCCACTGTACGGGACAATAAATGTCCAAAGCATTGCAGAGCCAATAATAGGACGATCTTCGCGACTGGAATTCCTTTGTGCACAGCGAATGAGTGATGTTTTCGATGCTGTCGCACAGGCAATGGGTGTAATCGTAAGTGGGATAGATACACCATTTATCGCCAGTTCGATGATGCGGCGAATACTTTATCCTGTATGCGACAGGATCTTGCTTGCCCTCCTCTAAGGTCACTTTCATACGCAAAGTTGCCTCTCCTTCCTCCAACAAACCATCTTTCATATCCTATATTTTTTTTTCGAGAGAAAAACAAGCAATCAGGAGACAAAGAAGAAAGGAGCAGTAAGCTTTACGTGAAATCTGTTCGTTACATTAAATAGCAGCAAGCTCTCTTCAATTGGCCTATCGCGCCAGGGACTCGGTGGAGGATTGAAACCTTTCATCTCCTCGCTGGATTGATGACAAACGTAGGCTAAACCTTTCTTTACGAGCTCCACGGCCCAGTCGTACAATTGCTGAAAATTGTCCGACGAATGCGTGACGGCGAACGGTTTGTAACCGAGCCACTCCACCATTTCCCGTATGCCGACAAAAAATTTCTCCTCTTCCTTCTCAGGATTCGTATCGTCGTAACGTAAATAGCATATGCCACCGTAAGCAGCGGCGTATCTGCAAGAGAGACACATCTCTTCTATGATATATTTCATGATGCAAACACGAAGACACATACCCGAAGTTGATATTGATGGCCTTTGCATGTCCAATATGCAAAATTCCATTGGGTTCCGGTGGGAATCTCGTCACCACTTTGCCACCAGTGGCCTTCAAGTGTTTCTGCAGCAGCCGATGCGTGTTCGGCGTCACGACATAACCGTCAGTTTTGTAATTTTCCCCGGGCTTATGAAATTGAATTTTGGTCTTCATGAGCTCGCTTATAGTTTGCGCGCCTACCTTCTCGCTGGTCGGTGTCTCCTTCTGTTCTGAAACTTTTATCGATCTTTCATTGAACACAAACATCCCAAAATATTTTTGCAACCGTACATGCGTACATCGTATACCTTCTTTCACAATTTCTGGCTTCTTTCCTTTCGTTTCCTTGGGCTGTTTCGCTGGTTTGGACGCTGATGCAAGATCGGCGTCAACTTTTGGGCCCAACAGATCGAGGAGTTGCACGTCAAATTCGTTTTTTATCGCTTTACCGTCCGCCCATTTCAAACTGCTGCGTACCTGTTGCATCAACGGGCCAGAATTAAAGCGATACCTATTTAAATAACATAAATTGCAATTACTTATTATATTTAAAAAAAACCTGTGTATCTAGCGTACATTTTATTCTACCTCTTTTCCAATATCTCATCCTTGTGCGCCTTTATGATCTTCTCTACTTCCTCTTCTATTTGTTCAGGTGAAACTGTCACTCCTATGCCACAAGACTCCTCAAACTTGGCTACGTCGAGAACATTGCTCACGTTAGCTAACAGATAGGTCAACGCAGCGTCCATCCTCAGTACGCTGTCCAGTTTCTTCTCAACTATATAACCGGCAATAAATTCCATCTTATCGATAATCTGATTTTTGATCTTGGAAGCTAGATGGTATAGCAAAACGCCAGTGTCGTGAGCGATAGGTCCATGTTTAGCCGCCTGTAAAAGTTACAAAATAAACAGGTAACTTTCAACACAATGTACACCCTGCCACTCATACATATCAATCGTGTGCTTATTGAATATTACTGCGCAAAATGTATGATGTAATTGCGTCAAATGTAACGAATGATGCAACAGTTCGAGCGAGTCGCAACATAAGAATATTCCGGCGCGTTACATATTCCTAAGGATATTCAAATTTAATTCGATGCCTAGTTTATCAAGTATTTAACTTAACATTTTAATTAGTTAACTTTGAGAATACGGAGAGAGAGAGAGCGAGCGAGTGAGATATTCAACGTCCGATCGAGACTCGGTGAAACCTCACCTCGCTTATAGCCAGCTTGAGATTCTTCGTGACGTTCGCATTTTTTAGCGTCTCCTTGGCCTTCTGCTCGCTCAGGCCGATCGTTTGAAACAGCTTCACGTCCTCCGCGCTCCCCGCCGACATTTTATTCGGGAAAAATACAGCTGTCACACACCACGGATGGAGACCACATGCGTTCCGCCCGCGGACCATATGGACAAGTACCGACGCCGGCAACAGAGCCCGTTCTCATTGAAGACTCGGTAACAGCTGCAGGCGCCTTTTCATGCTGCCGGGTATCAGTGACGTCAGATTGGTCGCGCCTCCGGCGCATGCGCGTCGATTTGAGGCCCACTGAAGTACCGACTACGGACAAATAGGTGCGTCGCTAGTCGCCCGCGAGGAATTTTCTTAAACAAAATTGTTTTAAAAATGTTTCACGGACAAGAGGCCTTCTTGACAGACACACATCTTTTCGCTTGTATATAATGTAACCATGTGAATTAATATATTGCATACTTTAATGTATAAAATAGATTAATTCAAGCCTCATATCTGTGCCCATTAAGCCCGTATCAGACTACGGATTGGGATTGGGATTAGATTGAAATTTGACCAATCAGAGTAAAAGTTACTGAACTTGAGATTAGTAAACTT